TTTGTAGCTTCACGTGGTTGCCTGCTTCCATTATACTTCCTCTTGTTGTTGCTAGCGACACTTCAACCTCAGACTGTACCCCAAATCTTTCATCTGCCCAAGAAGTTGTGTGACCTCGGACAAATAATCTAATCTGTCTGGGTCATCAGCTGTCTGTATGTGGAAAAATTGGACTTGTTGTATGATTTGTGTGTTTGCTAGGCTTGACTGTGTATGACGCTGGGCAGAAGTTGAATCATGTTACAGGAAACACAAGTGTGAAGGTAGGAGTGTTTACAGGATGTCTGAAACATGTACAGACTGTATATGAGAGCTTATGGGGGTTGGAAATGGAGATGGTTATGGTAGGGAGAGTGAGGAAAATACCAAAGATAGTGTGAGAGAATATTTTGGAGGATAATTTTATATTAAAAAGTGGTATGTGGAGTGATTTTAAGCTTGATATAAGGGAAGAAAGAACAAGAAGAAAGAGATCGATGAGGGGAATAGTCGCAATTTTCAACTACTGGTATGACAGGGGAACTGACCAAAGAGATTTGACACCCAATCAAAGCAGACACAGGGTATAAAAAATGGTGCTATCGTACCAGTACTCCTGACTGAATATTAGACTTGGAGATAAGAGCATCCAGGGAAGGTGTAGAAAAGATTCTAGCTGCTTCAGCAGTTATAAGGAATGAACATATTCAGATTTTCCTTAAATTGTCTGTCTATCCATTAAATGTTTTAGTCATGATTATAGGGATGATCTCCTTTTGATACTATTTTTCAAATATCATCAAAGACTAAGGAGATTTTGTGATTAGGTATTTGAGCATATCTGTTCTACAGGTGCCAAAGTAATTATGAAGCAATTGATTAAATCCCCTATCTGATTCCTTTAGTTGAAAACATTCAAATAGAAGACCAGGAATTGCCAAATCGTTTTCCAGATGGAAAGTTTAAGCATCGGGTATGTGGACACTTAAGTCAGGCTTCTTGTCACCACATTTAATAATAAAAAGGTGACCTAGGTAGTTTTTAGATTAAAAAGGGTAAAATGAATAACTAAGAGTGTCCAGTAGAAATGACACTTTGGGATCTCCAGTTACTCCTCTGATGTCAATGACACTGTCACTCAAGAAAAACGTGGAGCGTTTTCCTTGCCATACCTAAATGCTATTATGGGCCAGGAAGATTGTCTCATTAATTTTCATTCCTCCTGACTTCATGGAAAAGCCCAGTAAGATGCTGGGACAGAGAGAGTATTATGGAAACATGGTTTCTCCTCTGGAGAACCCAACAGCAAACTAGTAGCTCTCTTAGTTGTTCATGGTCTCATCTAGATATGTTCTCATCCTGAATCCATAGAGAGTAAATGTTGGAAAGAACTTTAAGATGTCTTGGTCTTACTTCCTTATTTCACAGCTGAAGAGACTAAAGTCTAGAGAGGTATCCTTGTCACAGAGACTTGCTGATGGCAAAGCCAGAATTTTCCTCTGGTTTCCTTGGGAACCACTGCATTGCACTTCTATCACCCTGCACCACTAACCATTATATTTCATCTTGCATTGGGTTATAGGTCATAGTGTGGGCCCAAAAGGAGAAAAAGCTGCTGACAAAATCATCTTCAGAAGTAGAAGACAATGCCTCTATGTCTGTGTGTGCACAAGGAGGCCGCAGACACTTTTGTTCCAAGATCTCTTTGTGGTTTACACGCTGCCATTCTAAAGTCCTTGGGAAATTTGCTCTGAACGTTTCTAAAGGAACTGTGAACCAGCTCACTGATTTTATCTCCTGCAATAGACAGTAAAGACAAGCATCAAAGCAATAGTAGTGCAACATAATTTACTTTCAGACAAATAAGTCCCCATGCAAATTATCTTTCACTTTAATCTAATGTAGGTTGCACCTATTCTCATGTGATGAGTTTTTCCCCTTTCCCTTTTGCTTATATTTACTTTCAGTTCTTTAAATGAAACAAGCATTATTTTTCTTCTTTATACTTGAAAACTATTTTATTCTAGAACAAAACATCTACTCACAAAAGTGGAAAAATATAAATGTACAATTTAACGAATAGTTACAAGACATACTACCTTACTCCTACAATTATCACAGGTCAAGAGGTAAAACATTGTCAACCCACAGAAGCCTCTCTACCCTGTGTTTTCCTTCCCGGTTCCAATTCCTTTTCCCCTTTATGCAGAAGCATCATACTGAATTTTGAGATATTCATTTGGGTTATATATTCTGTTTCTATTCTTTTGGTCATTATGCAAGAAATCACAACATGCATACTTCATTTGTCAAAGTCTCAAGTTACATACACCTTTTCTAGCCTCCTAGACAATGTGTTTTAGGTTGACAGTTTCTTTCAGTACTCTAAAGATATAAGGTGTAATTCCACTGTATTCCACTGTATTCCACTTTTACTGTTGATGTTGAGATACCACCTGTCAGTCTCACAGTTGCTTTTTAGAAGGTAGTCAGTCTCTTTTCCCTGGCTGTTTTAGGATTTTTATTATGATTTGTCTAGATGTGCATATTTTTAAAAAATCTGCTTGTGTTTTATTTTCCAGTTCAACAGCTCTGTTTAACCATCTAATATGCTCTTAACTTATCTCCTGAGTTTCTAATCTCAGTGTGGGTTTTTTTGCCAATTCTAGTTGGTTCTTTTTCAAATTAGTTGACTTTTTTTCTTTAAGTTTCCTGTGATCTATAGATATTATTACAAGTTTGTCTTTTATTTCCTTAAACACAGAAGGCTCAATTGTTTTATTTGGGGGATCTGATAATTTAAATATATAATTGTGTATTTGTTTTTGGAGTCTGTTTTTTCTGTTGTTGTTTTGTTTCCTTGCATGTCTGATTATTTTTTATGGTATGCTTGTCATTATAATTATTATTTGTAGATATGAGTTGAAGCCTAGGATGTAAACCTTTTCTTTCTGTAATAGTTTGCATTTTTACTTTCAAAAGCTTAGGGGTAATAATAATCCAAAATCACCTTAGACAAAGTTCAATTATTGAGATTTTCTGGACCACTGAAGTGATTTGAAGGTGGACTATGATCTGCATGAAGGCTGGTTTACTTCTGGTTTAACCTGTATTCCAAGGATGTAGCCCTTTGGGATTTTGAGGAGCTTATTGAGGAGAATGTCTTTTACTAGATTTCTCACTTTCAGACTCTGGGAGTTGAGACATGAAAAGAGAAGTGTGAATCTGGGAGAACAGCACATGCTCTCGAAGTAAAAGCAACTTCTAACCTTTGCTTATCTCTCTGGATTCTGGTTCTTCAAATTTAATCTAGTAATTTCTTCTTTTTTTCAGCTCTTTAATCCTTTACATTAATATTTTTAGACATTTCATTCAGCATTTTTGGTTGTTTTGGTGTGGGAATTAATTTGAATAATCTGGACCACCATACTGAAAACTAGAAAGCTTGTGTTTTCACAATCAAATCCCCAAGTTGAAAATCTATTCCCTAGCAATATGAGAGATATAAATTAAAGCCTACAGGTACTAGGAAAAATAAGTAACTATGGTAAATTTTAAATAAAATGAATGCACTGGTGTAAGCAGAGCCATGACAAGTGAATCCAGGAGGGTAATGCTAGTCCTGTTATAAAGTGGAACAGTTCTTTCCAAAAGCAACATGGCGGTACAGAGTGTTTTCAGAGTCTTTAAATATTTTGCCCACATGTCAAAATATTTACATAAAATCAAAATGCTGAAAATAACCCCAACAGTCAACATTGGTAGAATGCTTTAACAAGTTATGATAGATGAACATTATGCCCTTTTATATAGCCACTAAAAAGGATAAGTATGATGACTACATAAAAAATGGAATGTTTATGATATAACATTAACTGCCAATAGAAGAACAAAAGGAATAGGTTTGCTATATAAAATAAGTATATGTCTGGAAGGTAAAGAGCAAAAATGCACAAATGGTATTTCTATTTCACTGGAAAAGGAGGAGTAGGTAATATTTTTCCTTAAAACTTCTTTGTACTTGTTACATAGTTTTCTCAAGAATAAAAACAGGAATTTCAAAATTTAAGCTAAAAACTGTCATGCTAATAATTTTTCCCAAACAATTTCAGCATGAGACTTATTAAAAGTCATATTAAAAAAGAAGAAGAAAAAAGAAAAAGAAAAAGGAAGGCAAAGAGTTGTTTGAACTTGTAACTGAATAACTCAGAATCTGCAACCAGGCCGAATCCATTTCAGTTTCCTTCTTCTGTGATCCCCATGTAGCTTGTAGAAACAACCTTGGTTTCCTATAAGCTAAAATTTATTTTTAAAAATGAAAAAGTAAACAAAAATCTGGGTCTTTATCATCAGACTTTGATTCAGTTCTCAATGGATGAGGTTCAGAGAAGACATGTTTCTATCATTTGAAAATGATTCATCTGTTCTTTCACTCTCTAGCGGGAGGGTATAGTGTAAATATATACTCTTATATAACCGTTCGTTTTTAGTTTAAGCTGTTTTGTGCTTTAAAATGTTTCTTCCCTAAACTATGTCTTTCCCCAAATCTCTCATTGTTTGACTAAAGTGCTAATCCTCCTTCAATTTCAATTTTCAAAGTCGCTTTCTCCAAGTGGCATTATCTGATTCTCCAATCAAAATGTGAATCCATCTACATTTACTTGAATAGTACTCCATTCCTAGCATGAATTATGGTGCATAACTTCATATTTATCCATCATCTGTCTCCAATATGAAATCTGCCCAAAGGCAGGAACAATTTCTGTTTGATTCATACTATGTAAATATGTTATTTAATATATTACATATTATATATTCATATATGATAAACAAGTCTCCGGTTAGGTTTTTTCCCAAGACACAGTTTTACCTTCATGTTCTATTTTTTGGTTGTGAAGTTCCTTCATTTTGTTGCAATAAAGGTGACTTTATGAAGAGAAGAGATGACTTTTGTGCTCAAATATAATGATTAGGTCAACAGAATCATAAAATGTCATTTTTGCTTTTTTTTTTTTATCCAGGAGAATTCAATGCTTCTGCCACGTCTGAGATGTTTATATTTCACAATGGAGGTGTACAAATTTTATGCAAATACCCTGATACTGTCCAACAATTTAAAATGCAGTTGTTGAAAGGAAATAATATACTCTGTGATCTCACTAAAACAAAGGGAAGCGGAGACAAGGTGTCCATCACGAATCTGAACGTCTGTCAATTTCAGTTATCCAATAACAGTGTCTCTTTTTTTCTGTATAACTTGGACAGTTCTCATGCCAGCTATTACATCTGCAGACTATCAATTTTTGATCCTCCTCCTTTTCAAGTAGATATTCTAAGCAAAGAATATTTGAATATTTACGGTAAGACATTGTTTTAATCTTCCAGACTTAAGAGTACATAGGCATTTTAACAATTTTTCTCACTAATGAAAACAGTTAAACAAATAAATATCTCTTGTGTTGGAGTTCATTTCGGTGCAATTGAAGGCAATAATTTATGATGAAATATATCAATACAAGGATGTTTATTAATAATAAAAATAATTATATTAATCAGTAATATGAAATTTAATCATATAGACTGCTGAGTTAGAAATAGGTTACGTTGTCTCTAAAACACACATGCCATTGAAAATCAGGAAAAAAATTAGGAGAAATATCCAAACCCATGGCTTAATGGCTGTGCTTCTATTCACCTAAAGTTTAAGGTTTGGGTTTTGTGCTGGGAATCGTGGAATTAAGTGAGATGATTGAAAACAATAGTTTTATATCTTTACTTTCCTACTTATTCTTTTTCAAAAACATAGATAGCGAAGTCTTTTCTATTAACCACATTTATAGACATATACGTGCATAGAGTCTTTTTGTTTTTAGTTTCTGGATCCTTGCTATCATACTGAGATGATGTTATTTATTTACTGTTTACTGGATTTCATGATTGTAACAAAGGCAAGCTTTATGGCAAGCTGTTTAATTTAAACAGCTCTTTTAAATTTGTTAAGTGAACTTGTGATTCAGCACTGAAAGAGAAGATTTGATTCTGAGAGTTTTTCCTCACCTTAATTTTTTTCCAACCCAGAATCACAGGTTTGTTGCCAGCTGAAGTTCTGGTTACCCATAGGATGTGCGGCTTTTGTTGTAGTGTGCATTTTTGGATGTGTCCTTACATGTTGGCTTACAAAAAAGGTGAGCAGGGCTTCCCTGGTGGCGCAGTGGTGGGGGGTCCACCTGCCGGTGCGGGGGACGTGGGTTCGTGTCCCGGTCCAGGAGGATCCCACATGCCGCAGAGCGGCTGTGCCCGTGGGCCGTGGCCGCTGGGCCTGCGCGTCCGGGGCCTGTGCTCCGCAGCGGGAGAGGTCACAGCAGTGAGAGGCCCGCGTACCGCAAAAAAAAAAAAAAAAAAAAAAAAAAAAGGTGAGCAACATTGATCTTTTCTTGCACTGGCTTTACTGAGGAATATAAGCAGTTATTTACTCATCAAAGTATGTATTGCTCTTGCCAGAGTAATTTGATCAACAGGTAGATGATTTCTTTTCCTCCAGATATGCCTACTAATTAAACTACTAACTTGGAACAGAAGCTCTTTTACTTTATAGCCACTTCATTCCAAAAGGAATTCAGTGGCTTACAAAGAGATATGTCATTATTATTATTCAAAAAAGATAAGGAAATTGGGGCCACAGAAAGACAAAAAGGCAAGGAGGAGGGAGGAGGGTTAAAAGATAAAAATAGATGCTTCTGACTTTTAAAAATTATTACATGTGGGCTGCAAATTTGATTCTAAGTTTCCAAAGTCAGGGCAGATGAAACAAAATTTTCCACAACCAGTCAATTAAAAAACAGTCAGTGAGAAAGTCTAGTAGGGCACCATCAGTAGTTGAGAAGGAAATTGACAGCTTCTTTACATGGTAACTTATTAGAACTCCTTGCTTTTAAAGAAAACCACCGAAAAGCTAGGCAGAAAGATGAAAGAATAACAACACCGATAACAACCAAAATCTCTCTGTGCCAGGGGATATTCTTTTTAGTCTATCACAAAACGGGTTCTCAATCAAAGAACCTATACCATTTTGCATATTATGCAAGGGTGTTAGCATCCTCAAGTATATGCATAGTGTGACGGTTGGCCATACAGTGTGTATATCTGTGTCAGAAGGGAATTTGAAAAGAGAGATAAAGAAGGAAGAGAGGAAGATAAGCCCCGTGGTCTAAGTCTACTGGGGAAGGAACAGTAAAGGCATAAATGAGAAAAGACATTGAGCAGAAACAGTTTTTATTTAAAGCCCTTTTCATATTGTTCTCCTACTTAGCCTAAAGTCAGGAGCCTAAGTCACATTATAACACTTTGTCATATACTGCTTCAACAAAGAATAGAAAACAGTAACAAACACACAAACACATCCCCCACAGGAATGGAGATGGGGAAGAGCAGATGACAAACCACGTTTCTGACTTTTCTTGCAGAAGTATCCTTCCAGCATGCACGACCCTAATAGTGAATACATGTTCATGGCAGCAGTGAACACTGCTAAAAAGCCTGGACCCACAGGTACAGTGACACATGGGGGCTTGGGAAGGGAAGAGCGTTCTTTACATGAAGCCTACAATTTAAATTTTTTATTTTAAAGGAAGGGGAAATGTCTCTAGTATTTTCTGTAAAAAGTCAAATTTTCATTTTAACTGAATTTATGCTCTCTCTAGTTCATTGAAAACATGTTTGTAAACCACTATTAAAAAAACCAAAAAGTTCATAAACCCCTATGGTATCAAGGCAATCTTCCAATCGATATTTTAAAAATTGGGGTGATTCTAAGTCTTCCTTGTTAAAAAGTTCATTAAGTCACACGATGAGATTTATTGAATATCATTTTAGTGTAAATTACTGAGTGAGGCACTGTGGGGGATACAAAGATATGAAGGTTTTCGACTGAGATTTGGAAGAAAGATCTGGGCTGGTATTCCCAAGGGGAAGAAGGAGAAATTGGTGAAAATATTGTTATTTCAATGTAAAAAATGTGCATGGTTAGAGAAATTGGATGGCTGTGGAAGTCAGCTAGGTGGGACTTTGACCTTTTTCATTCAGAGTGAGTGTTGTCAACTGCAGTGTTCTTAAGTTGAGGACCATCCCAGAAAGTCTGAAATATCCATTCTTGTAAATCTTATGCCTTTGAGGTTGCAGTGATGGAAGGTGTATAATGAGACAGAAGCCACTGCATTTTTGCCACCACTCAGTGGTAAAGGACTTGTATAAAAGGGATGCACAAAACACCTGTAATCATGGAATTAAAGCGTGGGAAGGGGCTGAATCTCCTTTAGCCCTCTTTTTTTTTTAGATGAAAGAAATTGATGTTTCTTCTGGTGTTCGGTGATTCTTTGGTTCTCCAGAGAGTTGATACCATAGCTTTGACACTAGCAAAGAGCTTGTGTTTCATTATTCTGCTATTGGAAAAAAAAACCTTTTCTCTCAATCTCTGTGCTTGTAATAATGTGTCTCTCTTAATTTGGGTCCCTGAAAGCAGACCCTGAGACAGACCCTTGGATGCAAGTAGTTTATTCGGAAGGAAGAAGGGGTGAGGGAACAGGGAGAGGGAGACAGGAAAGGCAGAAAAGCAGATGAAGGTCGCATTACTAAGATCTCAGCTAGAGGCCACAGGACGTCTGAGAAGTGTACAGATGTCTCCCAGAATTGTTCTTCTGAAGGATGGTAAATGGGGCATTTATCCATTGGCTCCCATCCCCACTGGCTTGGGGTTGCCTGCAGGATGCATTAATCTCCTTTGTTCCTGAGTCTTGCTCTGTGCATGCCACGAGGCTGCTCTTAAGCCTTCAGAGAAAGCCCTGAGGCAGAAAAGCAGAGAAATGCAGGGTGGGGCTATTTTGCTAGAATAGTCAGCATACTCAGAAGTAGTGCAGCTGAAATCAGAGGGGGGTAGTTTCATGCCCCATCTACCAAGCCTAGCATATATCTTGCAATTACATGTAAACATATAGTAACTGAAAATGGCCAGAGTGTAGGCCAGAGTGTAGCTCTAGTGTAGGGCTACCTTCTTGAGGGTAGGCAGGGTCTTTCTTCTGTATTCCGACAGCATTACACATAAACAATTCCAGGCAGAGCATGACTCAGCACCTCTGTCAAATATTTGTTATTATGTGAATAACACCGTGCTGAGTAATGTGTATTGGGTAGAGGGAGGGAAGCCCTAAGACAGTCCTTGTCTTCAGTTTATAATGTCACTGGGAGAGGTAATATGTTTGCATGGAGGGTGGAGTCATGTGATAGCGTTAAAAGTCCTCAATTAATTGCAAAGCGGTAGAGTTCAGACAAAGTTTGCAAAAAGAGTCGAGTGGGCTGGGGGGCTTCCCTGGTGGCACAGTGGTTGAGAGTCTGCCTGCCAATGCAGGGGACATGGGTTCGAGCCCTGGTCTGGGAAGATCCCACATGCCACGGAGTGACTGGGCCCGTGAGCCACAACTACTGAGCCTGTGTGTCTGGAGCCTGTGCTCCACAAGAGAGGTCACGACAGTGAGAGGCCCGTGCATGGCGATGAAGAGTGGCCCCTGCTCGCCGCAACTAGAGAAAGCCCTCGCACAGAAACGAAGACCCAACACAGCCAAAAATATAAATAAATGAATTAAAAAAAAAAAAAAAGAGTGGGCTGGGTAAAACTCCATGGAAAATGTGGAAATGGTGCTCGGTCTTGAAGCATACAGAAGAGTTTGGACGGGGTATGTGTTTGCCTGTGTGTGTGTGTGCATGTGTGTGTGTGTGTTTACAAGAGTCAGAGGAAAGGGGAAGCCTTGCTGAAGGGGATTGGCACATGGAGAGCTTTTAAAGAATTTATGCTAAATTTTTGTTACAGATGTGACCCGTAATTTGGAACTCTCTGGCACCCAGGCATGAGCCGCACTGGCCAGTTCCCTCCAACTTGAAGAGCAAGATTCTGTTTCCTGGACCACAGAGAGTCTGACTTGATTTGACTACATACATCTTTTGCTGATGTTTTGTTCCGTCTGGACCAGTGACTATATCAGTCAATAGGGATTTTAACAGACTGCCTTAGTACCGTTAGAGTTCTCTCAAAACAAATACCCTCTCGCAACTAGCTTTATAGAAAGCCCAGCTTGTGTGTGCTCAACAAACAGACCTCACTGGGATGGAAACCCTGTCTTCAGATCTGCTTCTAAGCAATGCATCAGCCAGGAGAACAAACACATCTATAAAAATGTTTTAAAGATGTCAAGGGTATGGAATCTGCAAAGCAAATGGACAGCTGAGGGCCAGAGTCTGTCTGCATTTCACTAACAGACTACCTCTTCTTTCTGTAGGGAGGAGCATTCCTTTTATAATCAGGCAGTAGAGGGAGATGCTTCAAAACTGCAGTAATTTTATCTCTGAGGTGTGGCTGTGTAAGGATAGCCTACTAATACAGTGGAACACAGTACCCTTCTCCAACTTCTGAACCCCAGTTGACCACTGCACAAGCAATTTAGGTGCCTTCTTCTGCCCTCAATTTTCCTTTTAAAAATACTTCCACATAAGTACTTGACAGATATGCTGAGTTGGGAGCTATGTCTACATTTTTTCCTTCTGCTGCTTAGTTTCATATATATAGCTGCAGCCTAGTGAATATAACTTGCCTATATTCTCCCTAAATAAGCATATTTTTTGCTCCAGAAAGATATCTTATTTTCCCAAATTCAGTTCAAATGGTTTACTTTGCTGACTCATTGACACCAGTAGTAGGAAACATTGCCCAGAATCAAAAGTGACTTCATTTTTTGATATTCTTTTCTACCGTTATCTGTGTTTTCATGGTGCTATTAATTACAAGCTAGGCTAGTTTTGGAGATCATGCTAAAATTGCAAGCAAACAAAGGAATCCATCTCTCACTGTCAAGCATTGTCCTGGGAGATAGAACCCATGATCTATTCAGCATGAAACCTGCAATTCCTAGAGGTCACTGCCAAACTATAGCCGCGCTGCCTCTGGGCTTTATAGGTTGAAACAGCCCCCATCAGCCTGGAGCAGCCATCCAGACCTGGGTGGAATTCCCAGAATTGAGAAACTCCGCTTAGCCAGGACAAACAGGTGCTCGTGCCCCCAAAGGCTGAAGTCACCCTGGGGACCAAAGTGGGTTTGCCTGCATTTTCCTCCAGGATCTGTGAAGGAGCATAGATGTGTCAAGGAACATCTGTATGATTCCGTCTCCTAGAAACCATTCAGCCTGGAAACCGACCCTGGCCCTTCAAGGCAGTCTTCCTTTGAATTTGGTTTAGCTGGAAAGATTCTTAAGTACATGTGACATGTGATTATTCTTAGCTGAAATACTTTCTCCACTTCCTGTCTGCATACCCAAGGCTTCTGAAGCAGCCAATGTGTATGCAGCGATATTTCCAACTTAGGTAAAAAAGGGATTATTTAGTAGTTTTAAAACTTGTAGTTGCCTGCTTATAGTTTACTTTAAAAGTGATACCTGATATGTCATTATACATACTTATTTTAAGCATGTGTAATGCTGGATATGTACAGTACAGTACTGAACGTGTAATTTGAATCAAGTACGGTGTTTCGCTGACTTGGGCAACCTGACTGTCTTGGCAGAGGTGTTCTCTGAGTTGTTTGTGGGTTTCTGCGTGGGTGTCAAGTGGGGAGGACCACTCTCATGTGGTCTGCTTCTCCTGATTGTCCAAGTTGTGCCCTGAAGCATCCTCATCCTTAGCCCTGTACATTTCAAAGTGAATTATTAAAGAATACAGTTTCTGTGAAATAAAAACTGGTTTTAAGAGGAGCTAATTATGAAATACATTTTTGTAGTAGTAGGAAACTAAAGAATAAACATTTGATGTTCAGCTGAAAATATCTGTTTTCTTGGGGGAGGGAAATGATTACTGCAGCCAGCACTTGCAAATTTGACCTTGTTCTTAAAGATCGTTACACTGCTTGGAACAGCTCCTCTTTTCTTTTCTTTTTTTTTTTTTTTTTTGCGGTACGCAGGCCTCTCACTGTTGTGGCCTCTCCCGTTGCGGAGCACAGGCTCCGGACGCGCAGGCTCAGCGGCCACGGCTCACGGGCCCAGCCGCTCCGCGGCATGTGGGGTTTTCCCGGACCAGGGCACGAACTCATGTCCCCTGAATCGGCAGGCGGACTCTCAACCACTGTGCCACCAGGGAAGCCCTATTTTTTGTTTTTTAATTTGAGACAACTACAAATACAAAAAAGTTGGAAGGCCAGCAAAAGGACTGTTATTTTTCTAAGTTTCTGACCTAAAGGCCCTATCACCTCTGACTGGTATATATTTCTTATAAACAATACACTCTCCTCCATAAGCACAATATAATCATTAACATCAGAAAATTAACATGGCTACATTGCTGCCCCTAATTCTCAGACTTCATTCAAGTTTTTCCAGGTGTCCTTATAATGTATTTTATGTGAAAGATTCCATCCAGAATCTCCCTCTGCATTTAGTTATCACATCTCTGTTGTGAATGTCAGTCTGTACAGTTCCTCAGCCTAGGCTTTTATGGCCTTGGCTCTTTTGAAGATTACAAGCAGTTATTTTGCAGAAGGTCCCTTGATTTGTATCAGTCTGATGTTTCTCCATAATTAAAATCAGGTTATTGATCTTTAGCCAAAATAACACAGAAACGATGCTACTTTCTTTTAATTACATCTTATCAGGTGGCTCAAAATCTCAACTTGTTATGTTACTGATAACATTCATTTTGATCACTTGACTAAGTTAGTATCTGTCAAGCTTCTCCTCTGTAAAGTAACTCTATTCCTCTTTTGTTTTTTTTTTAACATCTTTATTGGGGTATAATTGCTTTACAATGGTGTGTTAGTTTCTGCTTTATAACAAAGTGAATCAGTCATACATAAACATATGTTCCCATATGTCTTCCCTCTTGCGTCTCCCTCCCTCCCACCCTCCCAACTCTATTCCTCTTTATAGTAACAGTTTATAGGGAGGTACTTTGAAATTTTGTGAGTCATCTGTTCCTCAGCAAAGTGTCAAGTTATTCATTTGTCCATATATATATATATATATATATATATATATATATATATGTATGATTTCCTATTTTATTCAAAGGGAAAACATTTGTTATTGTTCTAGGCTATTTTTGGAGATCATGCTAAAATTGTGAACAAAGAAATCCACCTTTCACTGTCAAGCATTGTCCTGGGAGTTAGAGCCCATGATCCATTTTGATGCTTAAACTGTCCCATCCTTGGCCAGCAGGAGCCTATTCAAACTGGCTCTGGTATCCTTTGACCAGGGCCCCATCATTCTTTCAGCACTTCCTTGCTTTCTGGCAGAACAAGATCCTCCAGGCTCAGCTCGTGTTTTTCCCTGTCCCAGTGCTGGAATCAGTTGTTTTCCGAAGGGGTCCTGGTTTCTTTGAGTGAACAATGGTTTTTAGAAGCCAAGATTTAAGCATTAGTAAATGCTCATTCTTATTGCGATTTCCCTGCTCCGGGATCCTCAGTGGACAGAACTGGGACACACACAACCACACACACACAAATTCAGAGGTAAATGTGTGTGCATATGTGTATGCGTGTGGATTTAAATATACACGTATATATAATATGTATATTTAAGTATAGATGTAAATGTGTGTATGTATATACATATATATGCATACATATACACATTTACAATTGTATTGATTTCTGTACCTATATCTGTACATGTTGAAATCCATGAGTTCATACCTATGCCTTTAATTCTAATACAACACTACAGAGTTCATTCTAGATTTATTCCTTTCTATTATTTGTTCCTCTTATGACATTGAGAAACCTGCCTCTTATTATCCTTAATATGTTCACTTATTTGATCAATGCCTCAGTATGAAACCAATCTCCCATCTCGGTGACATCCCCTGCCCCCCATGATAGCTTCCTCTTTCTGCCAGGGCTCTGACTCCCCACTCTGCGTGCTCCCATGCCATGTATGCACTTTTTACCCTGTTTGGGCTCTAACAGCCCAGGCTGGGTGGTTCATTCATCCTCAGCTGGGGGCCACAGTGGCTCCCTTGGCCTGGGATGCCTAACCTATGGCCTGTGTTTTGTACTGATTCCCAGAGTTTGCCCTTTGTGTTAAGTTCTGATTGCCTACAGTGATTACTGGTTCGATACCCTTTATTGCCAGCTGCTCCTTCCCTGTCTCACTTCCTTATATCTCCAGTAACTCCATTTCAGACACCCTTTTTTCCTACCAGCGCTAGGGGAAAGCCTGGTTTCCCACTGTTGCTCGTCCCTGGTGCTTCATCCTCCCTTGTTTGCTCCTTGAATCTGCCTACACCTTTGGGAAAATCCCGTCATCACCCTCTTCACTTAGCTTCTAAGTTGCCACCTATCGCTCCTTCTGGTCCCTTTCTCTTGCGTCCAGCACCCTGGGACACAGGGTCCTCCTAGGATCTGACCTCCTTGCTTAAGAGTGTCATCTTGAACTCTGATGAATACAATTCTCCATCTGGTTACATGTTTTTCTTTGCTGAATTCACATTCTTTTTTTTTTTTTTTTTTTTTTTTTTTTTTTTT